TTTAACTAACGACTGTAGACACATAGAAAGAGACAGACAGACAAGGACCGAGTGATAAAAGAGAGAGAAAGAGAGAGAGAGAGAAAGCAAGAGGCTGGTAACACATATGGAAAATTATAATTTAGTCAACAGTTTTCCCCCCCCCCATCTTCTGTTGGTCTGCACTCGCATCCCATTTGTCAGCATCTCACTCGCTCTCTCTCCCTCTCTCTCCCACTCTTTGTGTGTGTGTGTGTGTATGTGTTTTGTGTGAAAATTGAAGCGGAAAAATTAATGCTCGAGTGCATCTTGTGGAAAAGACAACACACAGAGAAAGCCAGAATGGCCAGCCAGCAGAAGGGACCGACCCGACGAAGCAGTTGACAAGAAACTAGGATCAACAGAAGTCGGAAGCGACAAATGGTAATGATTTGGGGTGGGCGTTGGGCAGGGGCAAGTTCTGGCCATTTATTTGTTAAATGTTTTTCTTGTGCTGCGCATTTTGAATGCATTTTTCCCCAGCAGGAAACTCTCTCGTAAATGCTTCAAGTTTCAGCATTGAAATCTAATTTAAAGATGGTTTTCAGTACGAATGAAATATGAAAATTAAATCGCAAGACTTCAAAGGATCTTAACCAGCCCCCCGCCCCACTCAGACAATTGGTTAAACTATTTACCAAATTATAGAAAATTCCCCTGGGCCTTCATTTTTCACCAACAATAAATGAAACGCAGACTTTGAAGTTGCATCCGACATTGGTCTTAATTCCCATTCGAGTCAACCACCCTCGGAAAAGATATTTGGAAAGCGTTTATCTAGTGCTCAAGATCTATGTGGCTGGGGTGGCTAGAGTGGGGGAAGGATGGCAAACATTTAACATGCAATTTGGCGCAGCTGCTGCGAAAATTCCACCCACACACAGTCCAACTCCAACTCCCCTTTAAAGCCAAAGCCTTGTCGCAGGCCATAATAAATTGCCATTTAAATGAGGCACAAATGAAAAAGAAAAGGAATAAAAAAATACTCTCATACTCGCATATTTTATGAAACAGAACCCCGAAAATTGCCCAACCCACAAGCCACCCCCCAACCCAGCCCGGGATCAGCGAATCCCGAACCCCCCCACCTAATGAGTAGAAACAAAGCAATATTTTTTTGCCAACGCAATGAATGCGCCAAATTCCGGATGAAAATTTGCCGAGAAGAAAAATTACGCATGGGGGGAGAATGGAAAAATGCGTAAAATATTTCCCAACTGTCGTGGAGTGGAGGGGTGGGGCATGGGCACGGGCATGGGCGTATGTATGTATGCTGATCAAAAGCGGAAAAGGAACGTGCATATATAACAAATTAGCATGCATAAAACAAGGCCAAGAAGCGGAATGGCAGGAAGCAGAGTTCGAGTGTGTGCCCAGGCATAAAGCAATATTTATGTTCATGTATTGCCCGGAGGCGGAGTCGGAGTCGGAGTGAACTCCACTCCACACTCCCATCTCAGGGTTTTCCTTTTACAAATTAAGCGTGGAATATGCGTGGAGATGGTTTTTATTAATGAAAGAGGCAGGCAGCAGGCAGCAGAGTGAGTGGTACGCCGCCACTCCTTCTTCGAGCACAAACTCCATCCACAACTGGAGTACTTCCAAGTACTTGGGGGGCTGTACTGCCCTGCCCTGCTCTGCCGTTTGTGTAATCCATGGTTTGTAATAAGAATTCCGCAAATAATCATTACATGCAAGCTGTGTGGGGGAGGGAGTACTCCTCGTACTTGTACTTGTCCTGCCATCATTCAGGCACATCCTTCAAGGCAATCTTCATTAGGGGACTGTGCACTGTGGGTGCACTGTGGAATGCCCAGCTTTTGGGGCAACTTTACGCTGCATTTGTTTAAAGTACTTAAAAATAAAATGCAAACAGAAATTGCAATGCATAGTAAATTCCCCAACATCATCAAGTAGGGGGGAGCTTGGGGCGGCGGCATGTTCGACTACTGAGCCACTTTTTCCAAACTTCCAGTTAACATATGCAGAGCAAGCGACGCCCTGCTCCCACGCACTGTCAACAAGAGCACGCCCACATAAAGTTAACGACAGCACCAAGGAGAGCGATAGAGAGAAAAGAGCAAAAAGAAAGCCTGACTAGAAGCATTGGGCAGGGGGGTGCTGGGCACGGGGGCAAGCCAAAGCCAAAGCCAAAGCTAAAGCGAAATTGTGAGGGAAAATTGTTATTTAATTTGTGTGAGTGCTGAACATTTTTGCAGCTGCTGCTGCTCCTGCTGCTGCTCCTCAAGTTGTGCTGGAAAACTTTCTGGCCAGCACACGCACAAAACTTTAACACAAGCATAAATTTTGGCCCACACACACGCGCACCAACACGAGAGCATACCCTCTCGGCAATTTGTGTGTGTGTGGGTGTGTGTGTGTGTGTGTTCGTGTTGGGGGTAAGTAAGTGCACTTTGCATTGGGGGCGCCGCGAATCCTTTTGGCTTTCTTCAAAATTCATATGCACATTTATTTTATTCTTAGCTGCACCCCTCCGCGTCTCCTTCTCCGGCTGCCTCAAGTAGTTGCATATGCAAGTAGGTGCTGCTGCTGCTGCCTCCTCTCCTTATGCTTATTTGTTGCATAATTTTACCTCTCTTACTCCTCGTGCTTAAACGAAGCGTAAAGGCAACACAGGAAGAGGGGCTGGGGCTGGGGCTGGTGCTGGGGGTTCACGGGTTCATTAGGAGTGCACACTGCAAAACAAAGCAACAAAAACAAATATGCATAATGAAAATATTCTATGCCTTCCCCTGTCCCACTTCCTCACTCTCTCCCTCTCCCTCTATCTGTCTGTCTTTCTCTTTGGTAACTAATCAAAAATGTCAACGAAGCAAATGATTGGCTGGTGGTGGGGGTCGGAGGCGGAGGCGAGTGCTCTTAATTTTGCCTTTGTCATCGCTTTCTGGCCCAAACCATTTGACTTGATAATTAAGTGGTATGTTCTGGCCATGGCCAGGCCCGGCCAGGTAATCAGAGAGCTCAGCTCTCAAAATCCTTCAGGTGGCAGCAATCCGTTTGCAGAGCTCTCCATGCCAGAGGGCTCCATGCACTGCATTACGAGTATCTGCATCGTCAAAAGGCGACCATAGATTACTTGTAGATTACTTTGCTACTTGCTACTATGTAGTGTACCTTGTACCTACGACTGTACATATTTATTTTCAAATGTGATTTCCTTACGCTCATTCTGCTGCTGCTGTTGGGGTACTTCTTTGCCTTTCTTTTCGCTCAATGCACACAAAAGAAGCGGAAACTTTTCAGACTGCCAGTGAGTTTACTCTCTGTAGTTGTTGTTGTTGTTGTTCGTCGCCGTCCCTTGAATTTTGTTTAATTTCAGAAGCAAATACAAATAGTACACACAGACAGACAGATCCTAACTCCAGTGGAGTTCTAAGAGGCTCCTCCCCACCCTCCACTCCCCACCAACACTCTGTTGTACACTGAGTATGTTATCTTCTGTGCGTCTGAGGAAGCTCCATCAGACTCGAGTGGGTGCCACCAGCTTGCGCTGCTTTGACTGCATGCCTGGGAATCCCTTTGCCGGCTGCCACTTGATAAATATGACTATTTCACGCTTCCTGCCACCCATATGTCTCTCCACCCATCTCCATCTCCATCACTCTCTCTCTCTGTCTCCTGCTGTGTGTGTGTGTGTGTATTCCGTGTTGGATATTTGCGTTAAGTGTTAGAGCAGCAACGCCCCCAACTCCGGCGTACATTTGGTATGTATTTTGTTTATCCAGCACTCAATTTCGCAGTTTTAATGACAAAACTGTCTTACCTTGAAATTGCATGCGGGAGAGGGACGGAGAGCTTGTCTCTGCCTCTGTCTCTGTCTCACTGGGCCCAGACCTGAACGACTTTGTTTGATTGCTTGGCTTGGCTTTTCTTGGCTTGACTGTGGGGCCAGGAGCTGCTCCATGTTTGGATTGCACTCAAGGGTAAGCTTGTCCAGATCTCTCCCTCTGTACTCCCTCTTTCTCTCTCTCTGTACGACCTGCCCTTGGCTGTCTTTGTCAGCTGACATTCCTCTCCTGTTCTGCCGGCCACCGCCACTGGGAGTGAGCACTTGGCAAGTTTTATTGTCTCAATGTCCACTTGGCTTTAGCCCCCAAGACAACTTAATGCGCCCGAGGATGAGGAAAGGACTTCAAGAACAAGTAAAAGGTAGAAGCAGCAGCAGCAGCAAAAGGTGATGCCAAGTCAAAGCTAACGCCTTTTCCTTAATTTCCGGGGAGCATGATTTCCAATTTTTACCCCTGTAACATTTTTGTACACTTGTCGTATACGTAATATCGTGCAGAATAACGAACTGAAGGAGCCAAAATGGCTGAAAGCATAAATGGATGAACGGATTGGATTGGGAGTGCAGAAGTGGCGGGACAAAGGGAAAGCAAGCGGAGCAAGCTGATTGGAATTGCCTTTTGCGATGTCATCAATCATGCGTCGTTTTTCCACACGCCCAGACACGCAAAGATTTTTTGACAAGTGTCAATGCGACAAGGGAATGAGAGAGATAAGCCAGAGCCAGATTCAGAGTCAGATTCAGAGTGAGAGAGCGGCGAGAATATATAAAAAGAGAGGAGCCAACCAACCAAGGTGTCACCAGGGAGTGGAGACGCGGAGACAGCGAGGGAAAATCACATGCAAAGTAAAATGTCGAACTTCTGACAGCAAGAAAATAAAACTTTTCATTTGTTTTTCCCCTCTCTGTCTCTCTGTCTCTCTTTCACTGGCACTGCCACTGTGCCACTGGCATGTGTCCCAGTCCCCGCAGCTGCTGTCAAAGTTTTAAATGTTTTAAACTGCTCGCTCAGGTGACAGAGCCGGTTGCCCGTCCGTTCGTCCGTTTATCCATCCGCCCACTGGCAAGCTGCAGGCATTGGCAGCTCCATTTCGGTAAATGGTACATAGATCCAAGATATAACCAAAAGATTTGACACCCGAATAACTAGTGATCCCTTAGACGGTAGACTTACCCTTCACTGAGACGGTGACACTCTGCAGCACCTCCAGCTTCTTCTTGTTGGCCAGCGGCTGGCCCACGCACTTGTAGACGCCCGCATCCTGGTACATGACGTCCTTGAGCGAGAACTGGCCCGTCGGCTGGCTGCTGCCATAGCCGAGGCCGCGCAGACGTGCCGAAATGGGATCCAAATGCGACCAGCAGCCCAGGGAGCCTGTAACGGGAGATGGAGTGGGGCACATGAAAGTCATTTCGTAATTTAATTAATTGACTCCTTCAGGGGGCCAGTGGTACGCAGGCTTTAATTTCTTTAATTGATGCGTTCTCTGGCCCACAATTGACTTGGCCCACGCCCCGCCCCGCCGCCACCAAACAGACAAATGTCCAAAAGTGGGCAAAGCAAATGGCACGCATAATTAATTTTCAATTGCGCTAATTAGGGCAGGGGCAGGGGCATCGATGGGGACAAAGGGAAAATGTGAAATGTAATTACAAGTCAGACACATTTGTCATTGCCCCCATTTCCCTTTGATGTTGTTGGCGGAGCCTGCAGAGGGGGATGCTGAATGCCCAATTCTTACCTTGCGGACACTGCAGGGTGACGGCGCCTCCAAGCTGCACCTCCAGCTGACCCTTGGGATTGTGCGAGGCAGCTGCCACGGATACATCCTGATCGTCTGGCTCCGAGGTAACATCCACCGAGTCATCTGCAAGAATAAAAGTGAAAGAAACGAAATCATGATTTAAAACTGCCAACACAATTCAAGCAATGGCAACGACATCAGCCGGGGGGGATCAGGCTGTCGGAAAATTGTCAAATGTGACGATATTTCAATGACAAAAAAGCAGCGGAAACAGGGGAAGCAGGGGACACAGGGAACACAGGGAACGCAGGGAACGCAGGGGAAACAAATTGCCGAGGCGCAGGGAACACCTGAGTCACCGCGCAATGAGTTGTCACTTCCGCTGGGAGTCGGAAAAGTGAAAATCGCTGCTCTGCCAGCTGGAAAATTGGCCCAGTCGGCGGCGAGCGGCAATCTCCTTGGCCGCCACAAAAATTCATAAATATATATTTTTTATGAGTCAAGCCCCAGCGCAAGCCTGTAACGATGCTTCATTCTAATTTTCAGCGAAAGCACAGAATTTATGCCACACACACACACACACACAACTGAGTAATCCTGTGTGTGTGCTACAGGACCTGGCTTTAAATTCCCCATCCGCCCTTTGTGTGTCGCATACTTTATGGCGCTGTTCATATTACGATATAAATAACAATTTGCCCAGACGTGTGCCCAAGAGTATGAGGCAAATGGCAGGGACAGGGACTGGGGCAGGGACTGGGGCAGGGACTGGGGCAGGGACTGGGACAGGGGCTATGCCAACCGCTGCTTTGTCTGAGGCCGGATATCATAACAATAAGTTGCCAAGTGCCTGGCAGCTCCTGTAACGCCAAAAGAATGGTGAATGGTGTGGCAATGGCGATGACAAAGAGCAAAGAGTGGCAAGGAGTCGCCGCAGTTAGCCCCCACAGAGTGTTGCACACTTTTCAGAACCTCTGAATCTCGTCTCCAATCGGCCCACAGGGCGACCATCAAATTAGCAGACCCAAAAGTGAGCCGCACAATTAACAAAAACTACTAATTACCAAAGGCCCAGGACCTTTGTGGGAGAGAGAGGTAGAGGAAACCCTTAAAGTTCCACAACACAACTGAGATTTTCAGCCGAGTGTTGGAGAGGGGAGAGTGGGGAGGGAGCGTCTGTCGGCAACAATTAATTGTAAGCTCATTTCGCTTTGAGACCCCTCGTCGCATGTCAATCAGCTGCCTCTGGATGCCCAGGACAACGCAGGACGAGGCCATACAGCCAACCCCCAGGCCATCAGTCCACCCCTGTCGACGATTTTATTGCTGACAATAGCGCAAAATTCTCCCCCTCAAGCGGAGGGCGTGTTACTTAGTCAAAATCACGTAGTTATAAAATTTTTTATTGCTGCCACGAACAAAGGCAGACAAAGGCGGTGACGTTCAAATTGACAGGAGGTGGTGTGAGTGTGGGTGTGGCTGTGGGTGGTGGCTGCTGCTTTGACAGACATAAGAACTCGCTGTCCAAAATGTCTAATGAGCCCAGAGAGCTCAGCTCCAGGCAGAGATTTGTCAATTGAGGCCTTGCGATTAGAATATCGAAAGGAAGGGACAGAGAGGGAGACTATAAAGGAGAAAGTTTATCATTTGATAAATGCACCCAAAAGACAGGAATCAGAACTACGAGTGGGCGTCTCCGAGCAAAGGACTCAGGCAGAAAAAAAAGGAGTCTCTTGTCTGTCCCCAAAACAAACTCATTCAATATTTTCGCCAAGTTTTCCTTTCATCTATCCACACACAGACGCACAGACACATATACACACACACACACATATATTCATAATTTCCAACACTTGTTTCACGCATATTTTACTCAATGGCCATTCATAAGGGTTCTTCCCTCCCGGCTCTCCGCTCCAACGCCCCACCCACCACACCCCGGACAATGGGGAAAGAAAAACAAATAACGAAAAAGCAAACAAATGGGCCTCAAGTATAGCCCATATGGCGACAGCGAAAGAGAAACACACACACACACTCATTTCAGACACACTCTGTATCGTAGCGAGGAGAAAGTGATTCCTGGCTTGGGTGCATATAAATCTCGACCCTTGTGAACAACAAATACGAGTGCGAGTGCGAGTATGAAGGGCAAACAAGAAGAATCAATATGCCACAGAGCGGAGGCGCACACTCCTCAGACAAAAGGTTGAAGAGGTTGCTCGATTCTTGCCACCAATCATTAATCATAAAGCATCATCATCAGCCATGCCATGGGCGGAAGGGAGAGAGTGCAGGCGGGGGATTATGGCTGAGTATTTGCCTGCCATAAACAGGACAGTGCCAAGTTCCTGGTCTCGGAATCGTGAGAGAAAGACCTTCCCTGAAAGCGAACCCCACTCATCCTCAATGTGTCGTCGAATATGTGTGAATATGACGGCGCGTGTGAGTGTGTGAGTATGAGTGCTATTCATAATACCCAAAACAGTTAAGCGCATTTGCCCGTTTCAATGAGTTTCATTGAGCTTCTTCCACCTATGTACGTTGCATGTAGAATCACACCAAAATCGGGGATATTCGGATTGCATCCATCGTAATCGGACTCATTACAGGTGCACCCTAGAGCTGCTCTAAGCCGTTCATTTTCCCCAGCAATTTGAATGCGAAAGCCCCGCTTAATTTAGCCCACTTATTTAGCGGCAGAGCTACTCATGAATATGGGAGCCCTGCTGCATCATCATCTCCATCAACAATCCTCTTAACTTACAAGCTCTATAAACAGACAGCGGGAATAGAAGGGGAGCAGCAGCAGCAGCAGGGGCTGCGGTGGGGGCGGGGGCGGGGGCGATGCATTTGATTGCGTTTGTGTCTTGGTTATAAATTTTAATTTTTTTCCTCCCTCCGCGTTTCACGATGCTCTGTGCAGTGGCGTCGTCCTCTTGGAGAGTTTTCCTTGAGGCAATGGCATGAGACGATTAATTTTCCATGAGTTGAAATTGAAGATGATTGCAGTGGATGCGAAAACAAGAGCGTATCAGGCAACGGCCAGTGGAAGTGGAAGCGGGAGAGTGTATGCGCTGCATGGGACTGATTGGAAGCTCAGAAGATGGTTGGCGATGGGGGGTGGGGGTGCCCAAGGAAATGCAAATTAGCGAAGAGAGAACGACAAAACGACTCCCTATCCATTAAAGATAAGCTCTTGACAAATTCATGCTTAGCCAAAAAAAAAGCCACACAAAAACTTGTGGCCATAAGGAATGCTGCCCCAAGTTGCTCCAAGACATTTGTCCGCAATGAGTTTTTAATACGAGCATTTCTTTGTGGCCCCTCCGCATTGAGATTCTCGCGTTTCATTTGAGCCAACAACAAATAAAATTTTATTGAAAGTCCTTGCCACAGAACCCGAAAACATAATCGCCGAGCGATAAAAACAAAGGCAGAGCAAACAGAAAAACTAATAATCGTACGCCCCGATAAACACTGGAATTCGAAACTCGGACCAGGCACCAGGGTGGTGGCGAGGACCAGAAGCAGGACCACTTATAGGGCTAAGGAATAAGCTGGAAAAGGGGGAGGATGCGTGCCCCATATCGTTGTCGTTGTCGTTGCCGTTGTCGCAGCAGCAGCAGCAGCAGCGGAATAAACAATAAAGTTAAACCGCGATAACCGGCACGACAAAGGATAATGTATAATACGAGCCAGGACGTTTCCGATTAGCCAAAGGAATGCGCTGCCGCTCCGCCGCTCTGTCGGATGAAATGTTATGGTCTTTGGGGGGGCGGCGGGCCTTGCCAATGCTTACGATAGCGTGTAAAATTAAATTTTATTGTAATTCTCCAGCTCCTGCGAGGGCGTACAAATGTCCTTGCCCATTTGGGAGGACTGCTTACTGGTTGTCCGGTCCTTCACGCTGCTTCTTTAAATCGTTTTGTTTCGTTTTATTTCTGGTTTCTGCTTTTTCTTTATTATTTTTAGGGTGGAAAGTGGAAGTTGAATGCACTTTCCCAACAGTTGGCGCAGAAAATTAGTTTAGTGCGAGGAAAATGCAATTTTCACATGAATTTAGGATTGGGGATCTTTCGCCAGAGGAACTGAGAGCGAACAGAGTAGAATTTAGATTCAGAATCAGGGATAAATGGGGCAGCTACAGCCACTTAAAGGCAATTAATAAAGTTTCCACCTCTTGAACTATATACAGAGTTACTGGCAAATCGATACCCAGGGCTCCATCCCAACCCGCCATCAAGGACACACAAAACTTTCACTAATTGCACTTTGTTTAGGGCGAGAAGGAGGACTGGCTCACTCAACATTAATTAGCCTCAATGTTAACTTCAACTCATTAATGAGGCAGGCAAACAAAACTTCTATGGAGGTCTCTTTGGCTCTGGCTTTGGCTCTTGCTCTGGCTCTTACTCTGGCTCTTACTCTGGCTTATGGCTGTACGAGTGCACCTGTGTGTTGGGCCAAGTAAACAGCAGTCCATGGATCGATGCTCGCCCCTTGGAGTGCCCAGCCCCTGTTGACGTACGTGTCAAATTAGCGACGTTTTAACAAGCTCGGTGCGTCCCTGCATCCTTCGGGCGGGCAGCGCAAATCAATCACGTGAAAGTGGCCGAAGCACAGAAAAGTTCGAGCCACTGCCTCGAATTGCCTACTTTTGTGGCACGTCATGTCACACAGGCACGGGCTCCCCTCTCCCCCCACAACCCCCTCTAGCATTCGAGAACCGCTTCGTGTCCTGCAGCTTTTGGTTTGGCATCGCTGATTGCTTTTTCATTGCATTTTGTCAGCGTTGTCCTCCGGTTTTTGTCGACGGCAAAGTTTTTCTTTTCGCCGGCTACCTGTTTTCGCCTCCATTTTCCAGCTCAATGGCTGGAGCTTTTCCGGGGGGCCTGATTGGCGGGGAGGGAGCTGTGGTAGCAGGACGAGGAGGAGGAACATATCGTCAGCAATTAAGCCAGCATTCAAACTTCTGTCTGGGATTTTGGTGGCGTTTTTCCCCCCGGCCACCTACCACTTGAATGAGATTTATCAGTTTCTTTTTTCCCCACTGACTCCGCTACGTGTCTCTGTCTCTGCCTCTCTCTTTGTCTGTGTGAAGCTGATGCAGGCAAAATCCAGGGTAAGGATGTAGAAAAGCGCCTTAAATTTTTTGCAATTTTCTTCAAAAATATTTTTCTTCTTGCAGCCATTTATCATGGTCGGGGCAGCTGTTTTATAGTTTATGACAGGCAAGGCGTCTCTCTCACTCTCTCACTCTGTCTTCCATGCCTTTAATATATCTTATAGATATTCCCTTCACACACACACACGCACACATACTCAGATCCGAGTGTATGTAGCAGGACGACCGGTGTCGTAAATGGGGTTTATATGCCGACTGTTGCCAGTTGGATTTGCCATTTTGGCAGTTCCTCCTCCAGTCTGCTACTTCAGCGCTCGACTTCGATAAAACGTTTTACAAATTGATTTATGTGCTTAACATGTTGCCAGCTCAGCCCTCGGTCTGCACCGCTTCTCCCCCCACCCCCCACCCACCACTGAATCCTGGGGATCCCACAATTAGATTTTGGTGGAAAATCCACTGGAAAAGTTGTTCCTTCTTCTTCGTGAACGGGGATGCCACTGCCGCTGCCGCCATCAATCATCGATAATGTCGATATGGCCGGAGGCCGGACGGCCGGCGCTCTCCCTCACTTCTTGGCCTCCTTGGGCTCTTTTTGTTTTTTTTTTTTATTAATAAAGCATTTGTTTTCCCCATAATGAGCAACGACAGGCGGCTGTCAAGAGTGCCACAAAAAAAAAGGGAGAGGATAAGTAAAGAGAAGATCCCTCCCCTGGGAGATGGCAGGGGAAGGAAGCTGGGTTAAAAATAAAACGAAAAAAAACTGGCAGCAGCACTTTGTCAAGTTGTTATTACCAATTTTTTATTCCATTTTTTGGCGTTTGTCTAGTTGGGATCCCGCAGCCTGCATTCCGATTGATTGATGAGCGCGTTTTTATTTTGCTTGGGAGATTTAAAGATTGGAATTTGAATCCCAAGGGCGTGGCTGGGCGTCGTCTTCGATTGAAGTTAGTTTTGATGCCCGTTTTTTGGCCCAATTGCATTTGCCGTCTAATGGGGCTGCAAATGAGTTTCCCTCCAGCCGATTCCAGCTGATTCGATTTGTGGAAATCTTTGCTCTGCTTTTGGGCATATTTTTTAAACAAAGTGGCGCCTGTCGGCAGGGCGAAAATTCAATAAAAATATTTACAAGCATTAACACGCGTTGGGCGCGTAAAAATCGACACTCCCACACCCAAAATGGGAAAATATTGACAGCAAAATGGCGCGTAAGCATAAATAGTATGAGCAGTGGGTGGAGCGGGGTAATGGCGAAAATGACACAGACAGGGGGGCTGACGACACGAGGCAACGACACTCTCGGGCACCCACTCAATGCCAATGCCAATGCCAATGAAATTTGCCACATTTTGCATATGGCTTTGAGGGTGGCGCCACAAGCAGTGCCACAACATCCCCGAAAATATCGACAAAAAAAAGAAGAAAAAGAAAAAAAAACAAACCCAAACGCCATGTGCGAGTGTCGTAAAATGTTCGCCGATTTGTGTGTTGTGTGGGGTGTGGTAGAAACTAATGGGAAAAATATTATCACGCGCCATTTTTAAGGCAATTTCACGCATACGCGATCTAATTTATACTTATGTGCCCCTCCCCAACGGTTGAAGAAGGAATAAGGAGTAGGGGGTACTAAGGACTACTCACATCGCACGCTGAGGTAATAGCCAATCGAGGAGTACTGGAAATTCAGATGACGGGATGTGCACTTGTACCAGCCGGAATGCTCGCGGCGTATCGATGTGAAGTTGAGGAAGCCATCGCCGGTCTGCGGCACCTGCAAATATCAGGAGAATCAGAATAGGTAAATGTGAAAGTAGCCAAAAGTCTGTGGGGGGAAAATGGGGAATGATAGTTTTCGCTCGTTATGCGTAAACAATTTTTGGTAATTAAGGCAAGGCAAATAGTTTCGTCCAAGGTAGGCAGCGTCGACGGCGAAAAAACTGCACGAAAATCCATTTAAAAGTTGCTCCTTTGCCTCTGCCAAAAATCATCACACAAAAGGCCGAAAACTGAGGCTACCAAGTTTTTACCAGTCCCGCTATACACTTACCGGCGTGTCACCGTCGTCCTTCTGCCAGCGCGGCGTGCTGGGGGGATTCGAGTCAACGTCGCACTTGAGGCTAACTTCGATGCCCTCGCGGAGCAGATAACCAAAGCCAGGTGTGCGCGAGATGGCAAAGGAGGGCGTATCTGCAATGGATAGTAGTATATAGTGTATATAGTAGGTATATATGTATGCCTATATGTATAGAACATAGCGATGGCAGGTGGTTATTTTAGTTTAACTTTGACTTTGGCTCAAGATTTTCGGCTGATTCTTCGGCTGAGACTCGACTCTGTGGCAACATCAACAGAATAAGAATAGTTTTTTAATTAAAAAATTGCTTTGCCAAGATGGAGAAACTTTTATAATTAAACTAAATGCAAATGTCTGGTCTCCTCCGAGTGGAGGACACACCACAAGAGGCCTGCAATGAGCAAGGATGGATACTCGTCTTACGAGTGCTCCTACTCTTACCTCCTATATCACTCACAAAAGCTGATCTTGAGCGAATAATTACAGCATATACTGTGTTGTTTTGGCATGCACAATGTACATATAAGTTAATTACAGCTGGCTTCATTAGAGTGCTTTCCCATTCAGTATTTTATTCGAATTGTAGCCACATTTTTGAATCTCGACATGCCAATCTAAAACCCATTTTGAGGCATGTCAAAGAGCCATCGACAACGCACCCCTCCATCCGGATTGTGTTTCAATTCATTGCATATGCATGGGCATAAATCAAATGTTTTTTAATTAGAGTTTTGCCATTTGTGGAGTACAAGAGAGAGAGAGAGAGACAGTGCCGCCTGCCAGAAAATAAAACGAGTATGTGCCTCGCATTGATTTCAATCTTTTCAATTTTTCGGCGCATCACTCGCCTTTGTGGGCCCTTGTAACTAATGCAATTTGATTAGGTTTCCTCCCGGCCAGCAGGTCCGTAAATGGGCAGTGCAGGGGGGGGGGCAAAGGACAAATGAAATTTGTTTGCCGGTTGTTTGCCAAACTATGCAATAGAGATTCAGTTCAGTTCGATTCGTGTTTGTGTCTGGGTCTAGGTCTGGGTCTGTGTCTGTTTTTGTGGCTGTGTCTGTGACATGCAGACAGCCGTCAGTCGTCAGACATCATACATATGTATGAATAGCCTTTTTTTGGGAGCCATCCTCGGCATGTATCCTTTTTGTGTGGTTAACCAAGGGGAGACAGGCGTACGGTGGACAGACAGAAGTGTGTCTACCAATTTGTTGGCTAACAAAATCAACAAAAAAAAAGATAGCCCAGAAATAGCTCAACTTCTAGACCCTTGATGTTCCTTTTCGGCAGATTGTTTTCAAACAAATTTCAATCTCATCTTATGAATCAATTTGATTGAAACAAGCTGGATTTGAATGAATGACCCCTCATATCCATGAGGATGAATCCACAACACCAAATAGAAGCTACATTTAAATGGAAAAACCAAATATTTCCTTGGCCTTTGCCAGATTCCATTTTACCGGGGGGACATTCCTCAGCTAACAACAGCGGCCGAGGGGTTTTTTTTTGTTGTTCGTGTCTGTCAACTGTCTGCATAAAAATGCGCAAATTAAACGCAACACAAATTACATATACAGTTACAAAATGAATGCAAATACAGATACAGAGCACAAGAACAATCCCTCATCCTCCGCATCATCATCTTCGACTGGCAGGCAGCAGGCAAAATGCTTTCATGTGTGTGCATTTTAATTTATACGACGACAACAGCAATGCCCCACTCCCAGCCCCCCCGATAATAATAAAAGGAAAAAAAAAGTATACTGAATGAATCGGGGAACTTGCTGCTTCTTTTGTTGTTAAATTCTGTGGTCGGGGGAGGTCCCTTTCGCTGTTGTTATTGCGGTTTTTACAATTTTCATGCCTGGATAAAGCCCATGCACACACACAGACAGAGGGAGTGCCTGGGCAAATCCTATAGGGCTTTTCTACATTTTCCAATCATTTTGCAGGGCAGCCAGCCTCTCAACTATACCCTCGTATACCTTGGCATTTGTCATGGCATTATGCGGCTTGTCGGGCATTAATAAAGCAAATAACTGTGGCGTGGCACTTTGTTCTATGGCCACGGCCAACCGATCGAGGGCAGCTTGTAACTGACGTCGTTGCGGTTTTGTTGGTGCCAATTAGTGTGAGTCCTTCTAATTGTAGCCTCACCTCGACATCGTCATTGTCATCGTCCTCCCGGTTACCGGCCATTGATTTCTAGTTCCCTTTTTGCTGTGACAGAAGCTGCATTTTTGTTTTAGTTTTTTTTTTTTTGCCTCGACGAGTGGGGGATTACAACTGGTTAGGATTCTGTTTTGATTCGATTTCATGTGCGTTGTGCACATGTCTGCTGAATGGTTCAGAACATTGATTGATGGCTTATTGAGAGGGGCAGCTGGCAGTCGCTCAGATGTGTGCACACATAGGAAAAAGAACCAACGTAAAAGGGAGCAACATTTGGAACCGTCTAATGAGTGGAGCCGTATTTAATCTATGTATGCAATCGTTGTAAATATTCAATTGTAAGCTCTGGTATTTTATTGTGTCCTCTTCAGAGACATCTCAAAAGTAAATTCAACTTAAATCACAATAAAAGTTCTGCTTACAAGTAAACACTCTGCAGCGTAGATTAATTAATTTCTTTCCGCTTTGAACCTTTCCCGCCTATCCTCCAGCTTGTGTCGCTTTTACGATATTTTATCTTATTCATTTTTGATCATGACATTACTTTAAAGATTCTTTTAATTCTCCTCTCACAGTCTAGCATTATTGACCTGTCGCACTCCACTCCATCCTGGGGAGCCTTTCACTGTTTTCTCGCCGTTTTCCGCTGCACTTTCAATTAACATAAGTTCACCTTTGCTTTCTTTTCATTCTTTGTTTTTTTTTTCTCGCTGCAGCTGCATAATATTTTTCTGCTCCAACCCGGTGTTCCCATCCAACCCGTTGACCCCTGAGGGGGAGTTGTGCTGCTTGTGCTTGCCACCCCCAACCCCGTCGCCAGTTGGATGGCTGCTGGCGTGTGTTAACTTTAGCAATTTAACTTTTTAATCAACATTTGCTTTTCGGTTTTTACTTTTATTTATTTACATCACTCTCGTTCCCATTCTCATTTTCATTTTCATTTCTGTTCTCTTTCAGCATCTCCTGCTTCCGCTCTGGCATCTGCTAATTAAACAAGGTGAGATATTCACTTTGTTAACTTTTATGCACAACCATAAATATGCTGACTGACTGACTGACTGACTGACTGACTGACTGACTTGTTGGACATTTGTTGGTCAAAGTTAAATATGATTTAATAATAAAATATTTAATAGAGCTTCTCTGAGGCTTAATTAAGGAGAGAGAAAGTTGTACAGCTTAGTACAGGCCAAACAAAATGAAGGAATGTAACTAAATATGCTTTAATTATAAAAGTAAAAAAAAAATAAAAGTATGCACACAGATTTACATACGTATGTGATAATGAGAGAACTGCTTGGAACCTGCTCGACCCGCTGACCGAAGGGGAAGAATATTTTGATTTTGATTTCGGGTTTCTTCCAACAGTATTCGATTACTTATCGAATTTACCAGAAAATATAGTAGGAAACTATTTCATATAATAGCCAAGATTATCCGTTTGGGAGTCAAACCGTCTACTTTCTCATTTCCACAGCCAAAGTGATTTCTTTCTATGCTAAGAACTTACATTGCACGTCCAGCAGGAGGGAGGCGTTCTGGCGTATCTTCAGGGTGGGATGCTCCATCACGCACAAAATGCGGGCGTTGTGATGCGCTCGATAAACAGCCGCTAGACGGGCCTCGCTCTTGGCTCCGCTGTTGATTTTGTAGCCATTCTTGTCCTGCTAAGAGTCGTTGTAAGAGAGAGCGAGAGAGAGAGAGAGAGGGAATAATGATTAAAATTCCATTTCAATTTAAGGCCTAACCCCGCGCCCAAGGTGGCTGTGGTGTCTGGTGTGTGGCTGGAGCGGTAGCGGGTGATTTTTGTGTGGGTGGTGGGGCCAATTAGTCAGACCTGCTATCAGGCAGCGACATCATTAATTTAAATTAAAGTGCCCTCCTCCCCCTTGCCAACCCCAACCCGTGCTTTCCGCACAGCATTTGTGGGGGAATTTGGTTGGCAAAGTTTTCAATCAATCATCGGATCATTCGAGTGTGGTCCATTGTGGTGCGATGCGATGCGATGTGGTGTGGGAGTATGACCAGCTAAACACGCAAATTTGTGGCATTTAGGGTCTAAACGACAAACACATACACAAACACACACACACAGAGACACACTTCGATGTGTCTGACAGGTGCCATGGGGCTGGGGGAGGGGACTGCGACTGGGACTGGGACTGGGACTCCCCCGTGCATTGCTTGACCAAAATGTCTGCTTTTCATTATGCTCGAGTGCCGGACAAACAAAATTTTGGCCACCAAACCGCATTCCCGGACCAAGAGCAAGCCAAGCCAAGTAATGGCCAGGCCAGGGCAACCACCCGGAAGATCCATTATTTGAGCCAAGTGCCGCTGTTAGCCACACTTAATGTGTTTGTGTGTGTGTGTGTTTGTCATCCGTCTGCTGTGTGGCTGCCATTCCACTAAGCACTTGTCCGCCCGACAGTTGCCACTCAATTTGTCTAATCGATTGGGATGCCCAGCTGCGTTACCTTCTCGTTCTTGATCTCCTCCAGCTCGAGCACTTCGGCGGACACCTTCTGGGCATGCCGATCCACGCCCGGACTGAGCAGCACCTCCCAGCTGAGTGTGGGCCGTGGATTGCCGCCCTCGCTGATGCAGGCCAAATTCAGTTCGGAATTCTCCTTGACGGGCACAAAGATATTGCCAGCATCAAGGCGACGCGAATCGATAAGCAAATACGGGGGCTTGGGTCGATCTGAAAATGCACAGATAAAAGATAGAAAGAGTTGTTGTAGCTCTGGTGGTGGAAATCAGGAATTTTGAGTATTATTCCCGAATGCCAAACTGCCAGCACAACTGTACTTTTCTCAGCTTATTTGACGACCTTTTTTTTTTTTTCTTTTTTTATATATTTCTAAACTTTTATGGCCATCCAAGTGGCTGCCATGCCGCCATGAGGCTGCTTCTCCTCCTCCTTTTGGTGTGACGAGTACTTACCGAGAACCACCAGCTTAGTGGGTCGAGCATTCTCCGTGTAGCGTCGCGTATTCTCCGCCTCGCACTGCCACTTGCCATCGTCCTCCAGCATGACATTGGTGATGGTTAGCGCCCCATTAGCCTCCTTGATGAAGCGGTAGTCGGTGACGCGGCTGGTGCGGTCCATGGCATGGACGACCTGCAGTTGGATGAAGATTAAAATAAGTTTTTTCACCTTTTTTGCTTTTTTACTTTTGTTGTTGTTGGTTGTTGTTTTGCGGCATAAAAACTAATGTTAGTGGCGGAATTATGCTGAACGCCTTTTGTGCAATTTTTAATGCAGCGCATTAAATGCTCATAAATTTGATGTTAAATGCAACATTTCCATCTCTTTCTCTCTCTCTTTCTCTCGCTCTTTCTACTAGCTGTCTCTCTGGGCCTGAGGAAAACAATTGCTTTTAATATTTTCATATCCATTTATTTGCACTCGGGCAACGTTGGATTTTTATTACATTTCGTTTCGTTTCGTTTCGAACAAAACACACACACTCACACACACACAATAATGACAATTAAATGAGGCCGCAATGCCCTCCCCCCTGGTGTTGTTATCCACTGATAATGTGGCAACAATGAACTGATGGCTTAAAAACTGTAACCAATAGTCGCAATGGCTGGCGGCCCTTTTCCTGTCTCCTGTGTCCCGCCTGTTCGGGGCTTAATGCAAACGGAAATTTATGACCGCATTCAAATGCTTCTCAAAACCCAACAACAAAAGGAAATTGTATATACATAAATTTATGGGAAAAAATACACACACAAAAAAAAGAACAACAACACTCGAATGTATGTAGCAATGTTGCACGTGCTTAATGCGTTTAAGTGCCAATTAAATGTGGGAGCCAGGAGTGTGAGTGGCACAGACATAATTTTAAATCCATTTGTAGGCGAAATGATCAACTTTTGGCTTCGGATTAAGGCGTGGGGGACAAGCAGAAAGGTGAAAGCCGATACACTAACCATCCAAAGGCTGTATGCATACATTTATTAAGGGGATCAATGAAAAATACAGCAAAAAGAAAACTATCCGATTCCTGGCCATTGAATTTTGGATGCCAAAAGAACAATTCGCTGAATGGGAACAGCAAAGAATGGCTGAAAAGGGGCATAAACCGTGGGGGGATATCAGGGATATAGAAATACTGAAATTGAAATATGCAAAAACAAGCAGAAGTACAAACATACATACACACTCGTACATTTGTATTTGTTTGCTGCACTTCCGCTTCCGTTGCGTTTTTGGCCATTTCTGTTTCGGTTTTGAGCTTGCAGTGTTTTTATGATTTTTCCATTGGACACTTACCCCCAAATGCAGTGCAAATATTTATGCGTATATGAATTTCACTTCCCCACATCCAATCCGCCAAACACCCCCTTCGTTATCCTCTGCCAGGCCACCGTTGTGTGCCACTTCCGTTGAGCATTTGGCGCAGTAGTCGCCGCGGCGGCCATTTGCTGGAAATTTATTAACCAGCGACGCACATCTGACTGGAAAACAGGCGACTGGCAAAGTGGAAACTGGATTTTGTGTGGCTGTGCAGCGGGGCATTCAGTTGGAAATTTATGAGGTCGATGCCGGGAGGTCCATTCCATGCCGTGTTGCTGTCGATCCGAGAGAGACTTTTTGGCCGCCAACGGAGGCTCAAACCAGGCTCAGGCCCAGACCCAGACCTAGACCCAGGCCCAGACCCTGTGCCACCTGTCCGTGTGTACGCGTTTTTGTTTTTCTGGCTTGGCAACATGGCCACACGAACAAAAGCGTTAAATGAGCGTGGCAAATCCTTGTTTACAGCGCCAAGCGCTTGCCGCCGGATTACACGCTCGATTGTTCTCTGTCCCGTTGTCCATTGTGCCCATGGTATTGGCCATTTGGCGATCTGTACGCTCTGTTCGTGCAACGGCGGTACAGGAATGGCAGGGGGGGAGTACTCCTCGTGATTATGAATGCTGCTGCCAGCCCCTGCCCCTTTTTGTTTTTTTGGCCCCGTATCTGGTGGTATCTGTGTGATGTCAGCTGCCTTGATTCGCATAAATTGTTGCATATTCGACAACGCGCACGCATAAATTTACATAATTTGCGGCGCCACCACTATCTGGCAGCAGCAAGGGGCAAGGTGTACCTGCCACATATCTCACTCGCGCTTTTTGTTACATTCTAATTTCATTTTGTGTGTTGGTAAAACTTTTTGGCGATTTTCCGATTTATATTTATTTTTTTTGGGGCCACCAACCAGAATTTTTGCATGCGTTTCAATATTTGTTGTGTGTCTGAATAATAATGCAAATTATGGATGCTTTTTGTTTTGTTGTTTTGTGTTTGATATTAAATTTTTGTTTAAAGGGATATTCTGGCCACATTTTGAGGCTGGATGCCCATTCAGAACGAGGATTATGCTTCCATAATTAGCTGCACGCTTACCCCAGACAAGAGATAGAGAGAGAGAGAGAGGCGCAGCTCTTGCTCTCAATCTGTATGTATGTATTCTGTCTGCAGCAATGGCTACTTATTTGTTTCACTTGCTCGGAATTGCAAAAATCTTGTCAGCAAACATTGCTCACTGCCTGTCCCGCACCCCACACCCCACACCCTACTCGAGCCACACACACAAGCAACTGCTTGCAGCTCCTGTGGGTGATGGCTGGCCCCAAAGCTACTAACTTGAAATTGCTTTCGGCAAATATATTAGCCTCTTGATAATTTTCAACAATAAATTCCTTGCCACACACAGCAGCAGAATGGCGGGTGGCTGAGGGGGGAGGGGCTTGCTTCAAGCTCTCGGGAACTCTCTAATGCATTGTGCAACGCTCCAGAAAGTACAACAAAAGTCGCTCATGTTGCAAGCTGTCAGTGCAACACTTGTCGCATGTCATTGCCGCAGTTGCACTTGCAGCAGCAGAATGGAGCGAAAGAGGAGTGCCATAGCATGCAGGAGTCCTGTGTGTGTGTGTGTGTGTGTCTGTGGGAGCATCAGACAAAAGTCAAAGCTAGCTGAAAGCTGCTGCTCTTGCAATGGCAGAGGGGCGTGGGCCTGGTCCTGGTCCTGGTCCTTGTCCTGGTCCTGAAGAGAGCGACAACTGGGGATAATGTCCTTGGGCCCTGGGCTGTGTAGCGGGAAGAGCAATGCTCTTACCCTTGGAGAAATCTTCATTAGCACAGAGAGAGCGGGAAAGTGTGTGTGGGTCGTGTGTGTTTTCTTCCAGGCAGCAGATAAGCAGGGCATTCGCTTGGCGGTGTGTAAGGCATCTACTTCCCTTTTCTTTTTGGCTTTTGTCTGCACATACGCCCTCTGTTCGTGCCTCTGTCCGTGCCCCTGCCACACACACCCCACTGTTGCTGCATCATTGTTGTAATTGCCACTGCCTGCGTGGTGGCTCGTGATTCTTTCACTATCCTTTCCGTGGCTGCTGCTGCGCTGCTGCTGCGCTTACACTTGGCTGGCTTTTGTTTTAACACAACTAATACAATTGCACCGCTGGGAAATGCTCTGTGCGATGGCGGCCATAGATGGCGGCTGCTGCTGCTGATGCTGCTGCTGCAACGGCGTTGATTTTATTTGCCATCGCAGTGTGCAGAGTCCGTCCGACCAAGCGGAGATGAGCCTCGTGGCTCAGGGGGAGGGGGGAGTGGGGAGCTCCTGCTCGACAATGTCAGTAACTCAATAAACTTGTCAAAGGTACAAAGTAGGCAACTTGCCACATTTTGCTCCCTCCCCTCCCTCCCTACACTGTAGTGTGCCACACTGTGGCTTTTCTTCATTTGGGAGACGCCGAGTGATTAATTTGCGGACTTGATGTGATTTACTTGCAGCTGCAGTTGGAGTTGCAGTACGCCCGGGAGACGGAGAGAGAGAGAGTGAGAGAGAGAGAGAGAAAGAGACAGAGACAGAGAGAGAGAGTCAAGCCAGCTGTCTATTAATGTTGCATCTTAAGTTCGCTCCTAATTGACTAATGGAGGCTTAGTGCGGCTTTTGACAGGCCAGGGCCGGGCTCTGGTGCTGTGATGAAATTTATGGTAACCAAGAGACAGGGGCAGGGATGGAAGCCCTGTGCGAGACAGGCGCACAGTTTGTTGAACTTAAACCTGAGCCACGGGCCATAAATCTGTTTGCCAGCGCCACAAAGTATGCAACACGGCAAGGAGGCGGTGTCGGTGGCAGCGGCAGCATGCTGCAACCATAAAACCGCTATATCAGTTGGCCTCCATGTCTCGTGCCTCGTGCTCCCCTTGGTTGGGGGCTAAAGTTTATGTCTGGCAATTGTCGCCAGGCGGGAGAAATATCGCACAATAAAGCCAACAAACTGCCGCAAAAACAAAAGCCAACTGGAAAAGGATCGGAGTGGAAAGGAAAGGATGCCACGCGCATGGTGCTGCTCCTTGGAGTCGAATCGAAAGATTTGACAGTCTGCAGTCGATGCAATCGTCGCAGCAATTGCATCATTTTCGGCGTGCTTGTCGAACTTGTTAGCGGCCAAATAAAAACCGTAGCCAGAGCCAGAGATGTGGCTATGCGGGGAATGCAATCAGACAGCCAGAAGACGCAGAAGGCAGGACGCAGTGTCTTTCGTATCCTGTTTGCAAGCTGCTGACAGGCAATTTAGTGCCTGCAAACGGAATCTAATATAGAATGCAAATGCAACCGCAACGAGTAGACAAACAACAGCAGCAGCAGCAGCAGCAGCAGCTCCCACTCTGCCGCTCTGCCACTCTGCCACTGGCATCCCCTCTCTCTGGCATCTCCTACGCTTGCTTCCAACAATGTTGGCATGCGTTGGCCGCACGAGTGTGGCAACACACACATTTTTTGGTCTCTCTGCCGTCTGGTGCAGGTGTAACCCTGCAACAGGGGCAACAACTGGGGGCACGTGCACAAAGTGTTGCAACTACGAGTATTATTTGCACATCAACAACTTGGCCAGCCAACTTGTTGTATTTACAGTAAAACAACTGCAAGAACAACGGACCAGAGCCAGGCAGAAACGGAAACAGAGAGAGAGAGGTGAGCCGGAATTGCTATGGAAACACACACACACACACACATCAACAGATGCATAGCCCCATAACCCACCCCCTGGACTTTTTTTTTTTTTTTTTTTTAGTTTGTTGTTTAAAGTTGAACAAATGTTATCCTCGTGCCCTCTCCTTGGGGTGCAATCAACAGCCCCCCCTGGCAGGCCTGCCGTTGCGTTATAATTGCATGACGCCCGCAGGTACAGCGTAGACTCCACTTTATGCCACTGCACTGGCAACAACAAATGTTTGCGCTTGCAATTACAACTCAATAAGTTGTCCAATAAGCCTCGTTATCCAGCTCCCCTACTCAGCCGCATCCTCTGCACACCGCCTCCCTCCCTGCTCCTCCCGGCAACTGGAAAGACAAAGCTCCTGCAAGAACGCGACGAGCAAGGCTTTTGACATCAGAAACTATGGAATAATAGCGATTATCCCATTTGCATAATGCGGCAGTTAGCGCGACAAACAAGCGATGGCCAGCAGGAGCTGGGGGCAAAAATAGAGAAGGAAAAACTGCCACTCGAGACGTCTCGGGCCGGGCAGAAGAATACTTGTAAAAATAGAGGGCACAGGGGACAGGCATCGTGGGCACTGCAGGACAGCAGCAGTCAGAAAACATTCCCTTAGATGGAGAAAGAATAAAGTGGAATGCGGATGCGGATGCGGATGCACAGGGGGGGACAAGTGCTCAAGTGAAAGGCTAAGAATGCAATTAAAGTCAAAAAGCACTGGACAAGTTGGCAGCCCTGACAGCTCCACTTGACAAAGAGATAGAGAGACACACAGGAAGAGAGAGAGAGAGAGAGCGACACAGAGAGAGATAGGTATGACTGTGATAGTACTCACCTGGCCGTTCTTGTACCACATGCTGGTGGCAATGTCCAGATCCACCTCGCACATCAGCCGAATCTCCGAGTGCTGCTCGGCATAGACGACGGACATCTCCTCATCCTCGTAGGGATTCGGCGGCACTGGCCGCAGCGGCAGCACTCGCGGCTCAAGCGTCTCCTCATCCTCGCTGTCGTCCGCCTCCTCGGGCGGACTCTTGCGCCCGAAGACGTCACGCGGCACTGTGCCGCTATCAAACTCTTCCACATCGTCGATGATGACGACCGGCTCCTTTGTCTTGGGCTTGAGATCCTCGGGCGCCAGGTGGAGCGTAGAGCGCACCCGCTTCGCCTTTGGCGTGGTCAGAGCCGGACCCGACGACTCGTTGGCATGGGCATAGCCAGTGGCGCTTCTCGTGGAGGTGGTCCAGGTGGCTGCCGCCGTTGCCCCACTGGCAGTGACAGCCGCCGATGTGGACGTGGAGGCTGAGGTGGGCCTAGATGACAGCTCCAGCTCTGGCTCCTCCTCTTCGGTTTCGCGTCGCTGCCGTCGCCTCGCCTCCACATGGAGGGCCGCACGATGGGCCTGATGGACCTTCAGCTGGTCCTTCCACCTGGCCAACTTGGACTTGGCCCTGCTGCAGTTCCTGGCGTTGCATCTGCTCGGCTTATGGTCAACTGGCTCCTGTTCCTGCCGCTGCTCGTGCAGCTGGATGCTGTGCGGCTCCTGCCTGGATATGCTCAGCCACTTGCTGACTGCTCGATGGTCGGCCGGCTGTGGCCTCTGCATGGACTTGCCATTGATATTCTGTGGTTGCGTATAGCTGGCACCTGCAACGGATAAGCAAAGGATATGCCACTCGATTAGTAACGAAGAATGAGCCAGTTTTGGGGAATTCCCAAAGAGAAAAGAACACAGGACCAAGGGGAAGCAGGGATACGCACCAGATGGATGGATGGGGATACATGGGGCACTGGGACTGGGCGTATCAATTACATTGCATTGTTTGTGTCTACTGTAGACTGCAGTCGAGGACATACGCTCCTCATGCATTTATTTATGCACATTTTAGGCTGAGGGATCGCAGCAGGGGATGGGTGGATGGGTGGAGGAGTGTAGGGTGGGAATAAATCTCTTTCGAAATGTTTTCGCTATGCATGCAAATCCCCTGGTAATCCCCTCTTTGCACACATACACACACGCACTCACACATCCAAAGCTATTTTCATGCCTAACTTTGCTACGACTTGTTACCAGTACTCCCATACTATCCCTTGCCCACCCTTATCAGGCTGCCTGATCCTATTGTCATTGGTGTGGTGTGGTTTGGTTCTTGTTATCCTCCTGCCTGCACTCCACTCAACTCCGCTCCCGTTCTTGCTGTTGTTGTTGTTGTTGATAAATTTACACAAGTGTATGACAAGCTTTCAAATGGTAATTAATATTCATCTGAGACGAGACAGTCGAGAGGAGTGATGGGGGAAGGTAGGGGAAGCGGGACCCCATCAAAGGACAACTACAACTCTAGCTGCAGCTTTGACTCCAGACTTAGCTTTGGACTCCAAGCTCAATCCTTGTGCCTGTGTGTCTGGGAGTCAACTGTAGCCGGTCGGGCCACTGTCTGCCTGTGTGGCTGGCTGGTTGCCTGACAAAAGCAGTGAGGCTGGGGGTGTGCTGCTGGGTGTGCACGTTCCTTCGTTCGTTGTCATTGTCTGCTTGACGCTTTTGTTTTCCAGCCCTTTTCTTGTTTTGTTGGAAGGGGGATGTGGGATGGGGTGGATTGAGTGTAGTCTGCTCTTCATCTCTCTAAATTAAAGTTGTCATTTTTCAAGTGAACGCACAAAAGTATGCAATGTGCCTAATAAATTTCTGCCTGGCATATCCGGTATACCCTCCAGGAGGGGGGTTAGGCACAACTATCGGTCGGAAGGCGGAACTCTAACTTGCAGTTAGTTAGGGGCAAGTGGGAGTCCTGCCTAGCGCACCAGCACACACACGAACATGCACACATGGACATACGCTAAAATGTTTACGCAACAGCTTAAAAGTATGCAGCACTTTTCACACAGGGCGGCTATGGCTGTGTGTGTGTGTGTCCTGCTTGCATGTGTAGTTCTAGCTGTAGTTGTGTTTGTATTTGTGCTGTAACTTAAGTTGTAAATGAAGATTGCGCCGGAAATTACACAAAACTGACGTTGGCTTTGGCTTTGGTCTCGCCTCCTCCCAGCCTCGACTGCCGCCGCCGCCTCTCTAGCTACACACACACACACCCACACAAGAACTAGCTGAAGTTGGTGCGCGCTGAAAATTCTCTACGCTGCGGCGCACAAATTGCTCCTGGCACTCCTGGGAGTGAAGATTGGCAGCCACTTCAGACATTGTTTGACAATTAGTTTTTAGAGACAATCATATTCGTGGCCTCCATTCAGCCCGTTAGGCATTTGCAACTGCAACTGATGTGCCACATCGAGTATGCCACCATTTAATTTGGCTAATTACTAGAATGCCATTACCTTTTTTACAGCGCCAACCATTACATTCTCCCTTCCGTATTCCGATATTCCTATGTGCCTAGATTATAGCCGGAATAAATCTGATAATACCCTGCACGGATTCACATTGCATTTTTTGTTTTTCCTCTCTGTTTTTTTTGTTTTTGTTTTTTTTTTGTTTTTTTAGGTTTTAAATTATGCTCATTCGCATTTATTTTATTATTTTTGAACAATATGAATTAAATTGAAATGGCGAGTGGCTCTACCGATGGATCTATCGAGTAACTCTAATTAATTACTCGCTCCTGTCACGATTTAATCACTCTATCCCATGCATCCTCCACTCTGAGATACCTCACTCGTAGGTTTACGCGTAGTATTTCAGTCCAAACATTAAACAATAACTCACAGGCACAGTCAATACCAGTGCCTCATCCCAAACGCGACTCAGCTCCACCTCTCACATAAGTCAACTGTCAACACACTCCACCCACCGCCTGTCCAACCCACCTCTGCGTGGAAGCTTCGTGCCACGCACTGCGCGTTGATTAGGTTAATGTCCTTAAGGCATAGGAACAGCTGGCAAGTCTCTTGGCTCTGCGCCCACACACACACACAGAGCGCAGTTATTGCAACTACAAGAACTGCCCCCGCCAGCCCCCAACCACCCACACAGCTTGTTCGTGAGGCAACTGCAACTTGCACCTGAACGGGTGGGGGCACAAGGAGCCTGCACCTTATGCAATCTCTTGCCGTGTGCATTGTTCGAGCTGCACAACGTCGACAACTTTGCCAACCGCCACTTAATGCAAGAGCCGAGTGGCATGAGCTTGCGGGGCATGGGGCAATGCAGGCCAAGGGGCTGCACTTTGCCTGCTATGTGGTGCTGGTGCTGGTGGCGGTGGCGGTGGCGGTGAATGGTGCGGCTTTTGTGGCAATGCTGCGTGGCAAGCCAGTAAACAGCAGCAGAAACAGCAGGAACAGCAGGAGCAGCAGGAACAACGTGTGTGGAATCCTCATTACTGCCATTGGAAACTAAAAGCCTTTTAATCGTCTCTGAATGGTCTACAAAATGATTGCGTACATTTGAATGTTAGACATGCAGCAAAACATGACAAGGATTTTGCCACATTCTACCGTATGCGGTGGCATGAATAGATTTTGCTGATTATCAATTAATTCATTTACTGTGAAGCTGTGACATTACTGTGAAATTTATTTGTGTCACTTTTTAGGGGGGGTAAGAACTGATGCTTACCTTTGACCTTCTTACAAAGCCGCATCTAATGTTTTCGCCAATTACTCAGGAAATTTCACTTCTGGCGCTTCCTGGCACATGCCACACGATGCTTCATTACACACACAGAAACAGAGAGTGACAGAGAGTGAGAGAGGGAGAGAGAGAGGGAGGAAGAGGAAGTACAACCAACAGCGACGATAATGTCAGCGACATTTACACAATGTCAACTATAAATGCATTGCCAAAGGCACACGAGGGTAGGCAAAGGGGGTCTGGCAGGAGTCAGGCGCAATTGGGGACACCTTTGGTCAGGTGCGTTGCCTTGTCGCTCCGTTCTGTGGCCTCCTCTGCGACTCTCTACTCTGTCCCCTGTGTTGTCTCTCTGCTTTGCAATTGTGTCAAATTAATTGTCAACTGTTGTCGCTTTTCTGCTCTTTCTCTCTCTCTCTCTCTCTGTTTAACTCTCTCTCTCTCTATGTGTGTCTGTGTGTGTGTATGTGTGTTTGCTGTCTGTCCTCTGTTTGATAAATTGCATTTAATGGCTGCCACCAATTAGGAGCAATTTTTGCTCTGCCGCTTCAGTTTCTGTTGCAGCTCTGCAGTTTTGTTTTTCACTCTTTCCCGCTCTATGCTTCACTTTAAAAGAGAGTGGCAGGCGAGAACAGGCCTAATAGAAATTGATAGCCTGCCCAGGCTAGGGCCTGCGTTAGCCTGCCCCTCCCTATCCCATCCCACCATTCCATCCTTCATGTTGACCACGTTCCTTGGCCATATTTCTTACTTCAGCACGCGCAGCATTACAAAAATTAGATAAAACATTATGGGTATGACTCGCACTCGTATTTAATGCAAGAAACTCGTTTCCTAGGTCATTTACCATCTATAAAAAAATAAAAAAAAGGAAGAGCCTCCTGTCCCCTTTTGCCACGACTGCTGCCTGCTGGCTGCTGCTTTCGTATTATTTATGTCGCCTGGCGACTTTGCCAAAAAGGTCGGCACTTTGTTCCATCATCATTCGAATGGGAGCGAGAGAGAGAGAATGCAGCAAGGGTATGCTAGAATCGCCATGGGCTTGGTCTCCCTGCTATATTTATGCACAGAAGTTATTTTGTTTTTTTTTTTTAATTTATTTATCATGATAATTGGGTTAAGTTGACTTGATAAATAAATAAAATTTATAAAAATAAATAAATAAAATTAAATATCAGTTTCTTATGCGAGTCTCTGATCGAGCTATCGGGCAATTGAAAGGTTCTCTTTTCTCTTGCCAAGGTGAAACGAAAGAGTATCCAGCATTCCCCTACACCCTACACCATACACCTGTGTCGCCTTTTTATGCACCATTCGTTTCTTTTGGTCATTAGGCGTAGCGCACTTAGCGTCGTCGACGTGCTGTGTGACCAGTGCCAACCGCAAATTAAGTATACGTCGCGTTGCGCGTTGCGCCTCCGTCGAGTCCGACTCCGGCTGCAGTTTTGTGGCACACAGTCAACAAACAACAAATACTGAGACAACAAACGGCGAGCGGGTCCTGGGCCAGAACATCAGAGCAGTCAAAAAGCCAGCCAGCCAGCCAGCCACCGAACAAATTTCATTTTGTTTGTTTGCCTATCTCTCTCTCTCTCTCTTTCTATGTCTCCCCCTCACTCTATCTCTTTATCTTTTTGCTGTTTGTTTGTTTGCCTCTCCGTTCTCTGCCCCTGCCCCTGCCACCGCTCAAACAACATGAATTAAGCGCCAAAAAATGTGCGCGGCACGTAAATAACTCCACACAGCGGGAAAGAGAGAGAGATGGAAGGGGACGTAGGGAGCGATACGGAGAGTGTCCCCCAGTGACGGGGGCACGCGGCACGTGACCAAATTTCGATGGCAACTTTGTGGGACACGCTTCCACTTGCTCTTACACTCGCCTCTCGCTCTCTTACTCCCCACGGGTGGAGCGTGGGGTGGAAGTGCGACTTTATCATGTTTTCATTTCGAGGCGCTGGCTTTTTAATTTTTCACATTTAACGGAGGGGCAATCTGGAGGTGGGCGTGCCCTTTCCTATAAAATTTTCCCTGCCACAGTATCTGCAGCAGCAGCGGCAGCGGCAGAAAA